GATCTTGGACGTTTAATTTCTTCATGGTTTCCATAGATATACATTGTTTTGAATCTCTGACCTCACTCCCTATATAATTTTGGCTTATACAATTTCTAGGGTCTGGAAGATCATCTGGGAGACATGGACTTCAAAATTGCTGGTACACAGAATGGAGTTACAGCTATTCAGCTGGATATAAAACCTGCTGTAATCCCTCTAGATATCATATGTGAGTGTCTAGAACCTGCACTTAAAGGTCGGCTTCAAATCCTAGATCAAATGAAGCGAGAGATAAATGTAGCACGATCTCAAGATGGCAGAAACTCTCCACGCATATGTAATATGTTCCAGTTGCATAGACATAACTTTTCTCTGATGATAACCTTAGCTTCAATATTTATTTATTTTTGTTGTTTCTGGTCAGAAAGGGTTTGAAAAATACAAGGCAAGAAATATATGATTGCATTTACCAATATTATTCACATGGCTATTTGTGCAGTGACCTTGAAGTATAGCAATGACGCGATCCGCCGCCTGATTGGTCCTCTTGGTGCCTTGAAGAGGAAAATTGAAGGAGAAACAGGTATGATTTTGTATAGGAGATCTCCCATAGTAGATTCTAAAATGTATCAAGTCCTTGTATTAATGATTTTTGTCGTAGTACAATAAAATGTTGTAAATTGGCACTTTTGGATACCCAATCTTATTTTGTTAATTGGCCATATGCACATGAGAAAAATGATTTTGCTTGTTCATAAATACAAGACTAGGATTATGGAGGATTGTACATGGGTAATCTTACATCTGATTTTTCATTTTTGTGTAAAAGTGATTTTGTATATAATTCTACTTAAGCTTCATTCCCTGACTCGTTGATGGTATTTGAATGCCAAAGACTGACCTGCGCATTTGTGTTATGTTAATTCTCTAGAGGATATATGACATTGCTCTTGGAAGGAATGAATATGTCTATGGAAGTTGCTGCCTTGTCACCTGTGGTTGATACCTTATTAAAACTGATCAAATAGATAGACAGGAGAAGGATAATAGAGAGAAATAATATAATTATTGTAATATTTGGATGGAGAAAAGAAGGCAGGTCTTCTAATCACTGCAAGCAAAGAAGGGAAAGCCTCTTTACCAAGCTTTGGCTGGTATAAGGGTGGGAATAGTGCATGTTAAGAACCAAGTGCCTGCTAATTTTTTAACACGCTTCTTTCATAGAGTAGGATATGCTATAAACTACTATCTTTTTTATTAAATGATCACATCTTAGTATCCAACCAAACTAAAACTTACCATGGGGAAGCAATCAGTATTAACTTCAATGAATCAGTTTTTTTTTTTTTTTTTTTTTTTTTTTTTTTTTTTTTTTTTTT